TTACCACTAAAACAATAATCCAATAAAAGCATCCTCTTCAATTCAACAATTCGGCTAATGTTTAATCTTTAGTGTATCAAGCTATAGTGTATATAATACCACTGTAGATTCTGAAAGAGAGTCTCAATAAAACAACACTTTCTCCAATCTCATCTCTTCTAAGTTTTAACTCTTACCTACATTTTAGGCCTGATTTTCAGTTTTTCCAGAAACGAATTCAATTACATACACACAAAAAAAATGGTGTATCTATGCAATACTGTAGTATAGTTTTTGCCCTACTTCGAGTGCACTTCAATCTACCAATTCTAACATCATGGTTCTGAATCAAGTAGAAAACTTTGGTTCCGACGCATCTTGTGATGCAAAAGTATTAGATCGAGTATCTAATTCCTTTATAACAAATAAATCAATAGAAAAAATGAGAAACACAACTCAAATTTTCATCACTGCATAGAACCGAACCTTGTAAAAGGTTCCGATACCCTCGTTCTGGATCATATTCCTCGTCACCTGAGCTGCTGATCCCTGACCAAGTTGAATCCTTACCTATAAAACATGAAAAACATAAGCGGGACATCATAAAGTGCCCTGCAACAAACAYCATACTGATAAACCCTTCCACTTATTCCGGCGAAAGGAGAATTAGAAAAGATTCATAATTCATTAGCCAAAATCTCAGATCCTCCTAGAAAAGGAACTCCATTATCAAAAGAATCCTAATATGTGAGCACTCAACAAGGAAACAAGCTCGAACAGTAAGGAAAGCATTTATATTCGAAAGAAACTGAGAAACCCATGGCCAGAAAGAATTGGAGGTACACCTTGATCATGTCCACCGGTTGGATGACACAGGTGGCAAGCATTCCCGATGCTCCGCCATTAACGAATGGCTTCACGGTAGGCCAGAGAGCACTAGATTTGGACTTTTCTCCCATCGTTTCGACGTAGGGAGAGAGTGGCGGGCAGAACTACGCTGGCACTACCACACTAGGGACTAGGGAGGGAGCTTTTGTGTGGTTGAAGAGAATAAAGAATAAAGAATAAAGAATAAAGAAGGCCACAAATAGAAAAGCGAACCCGCCTTCCAAATATGAAGGAAAGAGAGTACTTAGTCTTTCCCCAAGCCCAACTGCCCAAGTTCAATCATTGTCTTTGCCCTAGTTTGGCTATAAAATTACGAATCAAAACTATGAGATTGAAATGACGGAAATGTCCTTTCCAGTTTTATTTTCAGGGTAAAATATAAAAACCTCCCTTCA